CAGAAGTGCTTATTTATAATAACTACATTATGGAGAAGAGAGAATTTTCGTTTATCGAGAAGCAAGGGAAACTTTTAAGGTATGAATACTACTGTTGAGAGTGAATTGGAACTTCTTCACGAGATAAGTTTTTCCAATTCGCCCTTCACTGGACATTTTTGTTACCACAAACAAGCCTCCAGAAGTTGAACCTTTGCAACGGAAGATATGTATTAATAACAACAATTTATAACTATAGCACAGCTTTGTTTAAGTGATGAAGAATGGTCGAAGATAGGAATTAGAACAAGACCATCAGGTGGACGAGCCCTGTCTGGACCATAGCCTAACATGCTGCACAGGCACATGAAAGCTGCCAAGTCGCTATGCTCATTTGGTTTTAAAAAGCAACATGTCAAGTGCGCCGGCTCAAGAAAAAAGAATCCCACATATTTTTACTCTGAATGTGTTTGCTGACTAAAACCATGTAACGTGATGAGTCTCTGGACCAAATATTTGCTGATGGAGAAATTCTTGATGAGGACAACAAAGTGCAAGTTCAATTGTCAAGTCTTTTATAGACAATCAAGGAACCTTGTTACATGTAAGTAAGCATTCTTCTTAATTACTTAAATATTAATTTATAAAAATTGGTAGCTTCAGTAAAATGATTCGTTCAAAAACCTACTTCAAATAGATCTCACACTATTTATACATCTCAACTTTAGACATGTAATAAATTAAATCCCTAGATAACATAATGTTTAAGAGTATATTATAATATATATTTTTTAATTTAAAGGAATGATTATTACTTAGTTTCCTTATAAGTAAACCTGGCAAAATTAATGTTATATTCTTGATATCGCCTATATCTGCAAGCAATTAAAACTTCTAAGGTATGAATTGCTGGTAGTCCAATTAAATATGAAAAAAATAGCACAATTGCAGGATTTTGTTTCCTGAGATAAATTAGTTATGGACAGTAACTATGAGGTATTTTGCAAATGATTGCTGCTATACTCAATTGAAGTTTATATAATATTTTATACATAACTTATAACTGCCTTTGTTTACAGACCTTATCAAATATTTTATAATGAAACGATTCTACTGCCATACAGACCTTATCGAATTTTTAATAATGAAAAAGTGCTCTTGCCATTCAATAGGAACAGTCATTGGACCCTTGTGGTAAGTTTCAGTGAAACACAATTTTAGTAGCTGACAACAGGCAGAATCCATTAGGGGTAGTTACCCACTGCACCCACCTTATAGGATCCACTAATACATAGATAGAAGTTGCCATAAACAATGTTATACTAGACATTAAATTACAGCCTTCAACATTATTGGTATTACTAAAATGATGATCTTATCTGAATTATCAATACTTAATTAAATTATCAATACCTATTTGAATTATCAATACTTTAAAAAAATCAATACTTAACTTTTTTTTTAATTATCAATACTTATTTGAATTATTAATACTTTAAAAATTATCAATACTTAATCAAAATTATTAATACTTATTTGAATTTTACTCTACTTGGTTTTGTCTCTCCATTCCGTAACATACAGTGGCATACTATGAGCACTGAATTGTGGCAATTTCTGGGGCGAAATTACCTGATAATGTGGCAATCCACCTATAACTGTGTTGTTTCACCCTTTTTTTCAGTTCGCACAATACGTCACATTAAAAAAGACAATTGATTTTGATCAAGTAAGTATGACCTTATACTTCAACACTTCTTTTTCAAAATGTTAAGCTCTAAAAGAGCGCAAACTCGTGCCCTGGTATCCCTTGGAGTGTTAGAGAGATTTTGAAACTCACGTTGAGGTTTCCATTGGGTGGTATTTTTTGTCCCCCTGTCCCTGTATCCTATTCCCCTCACCACAATTTATTATTTCTGAAACTACATAAATTAATCAACATTGATTTGATTAATTATTTTGATTTAGCTCATTATTGGTCCCCTGGACATGCAGTTGTTAAGGAAACTAATGATTAAAGAGGTCTTTACTGGTTCGCTTGTGGACTTATACAGTAAATTAATAATCAAAGAGACCGCCTCTGATAATGTACTAAGTGAACTAAGTTAATGTACTAAGTGAACTCAGTAACTTGGATATTATCCATGCACTTATAAACTGTTCATTACTTATAATTCTAAAACTATAATTTATAGTCTATTATCAATACTTATTTGAATGATTGATACAACATCTAGCTATTACTCCCAAGGAAAATATATATTAGTGGTGGTATTGAATTGAATCGTTATAAAATTACACATTTAATTCTCTAGATACATCATTATGCAGAGATGGCTTATTGCAACGACGAAGATGAAAATATACACAGTCACTCCCCCCCCCCCCAAAAAAAAAAACATTAAATTTTCTTTTTGCTTCCTATTTATTTTCTTGTTTGTTTATTTATATATTTGTTTTTTGTAGAAACAGCACATCTATTCTTATTTTGGAAATAAATTGCCAATCAGATGAATTGTGCTCATGCAGTGTACATGTACAAGTGAAAAATTAGGCAACAATTAATTAAAAATAGAAAGAAATGTGGAACTGACAAAATTTTAATGACCTAATTCTGCCGGTTGCACCAACCATCAACGAGGCACTATGCCAATATTCTGAGGATGAAATCATCGATGGTGAAAACAAAGTGTGAATGATTAAGTGCAGTTATTGCAACAAGAAATTAACGTTCCTATGTTTCATTCCTGTTCCAGTGTAAATTTGTTACTATATTTTTGTTGATAGGTACTGCGAAAGATGCCAAAATAAAACTAAAACCGGTAGGGTTAGGCCTATTCTACTCCACCAGTGCACGCTATTTTTGGTGGTGATGAGGTATGGCCACCTCAACCAGAACAATTGCGCACCAATGAAAATCGAAAAGGTACATTTTGTTTTGTTTTGCATTGAATTCACATTAATTATAACATTTTCATAACCTAGGAACTTATGATTTTTGTCTAATTTTCCTGTTTATTTTATAAAGACAAATCGTGTTAAATGACAGCATCCCTCAAGATGCAAAAAGAGACGAACAAAATTGTAGAAGTGACGTACAGTGGAACTCCTAAACACAGGGGGCCATGCATGCAAACTCTCCACTATTTTGGACAGGTAAGCTGAAAAGTTTGAAATTTCAATTATATACATCGATTGCCGTCGCTGAACATTGCCTATTAGAGTGAGCATTATCTATGAGATTTTTTCGCAGTGAATTTTGTTTGACAAAAAAGGTGTCTTTCATGTGACCACCAGGAAAAAAAAGGTTGATTCTATTTTTAAATTTAGCTTTCCTTCTAAACTCTTTATTAGGTAAATGAGATGATATCTAAAACCGATGATGAAAAAATCATGTTTAAACACGAGATACTGGTTATAAAAAAAGGTCCGAGAAACCTCAAAGGAAGGACATGGCTAAATGATAAAAGGTTTGTTAGCTTCCTAGCTTCAAGGATCATGTGAGTTATATATAGTTCTCGCACTTTTGATAGTCACTTCCCTAAAAGACTTTTTTCTTTTTGATTGTTTGTTTATTTGTTTTTGTAGAAACATGTCTATTCTTATTTTGGAAATAAATTGCCAATCAGATGAATTGGCCTAAAGTATTTTAATTTAGCTTTCAAAAATCTTATTGTCAGGTAAATGAGATGATGGCGGAAGAAGATGATGATAAAATTATATTCAAACACAGCAGACTGGTTCTCACAAAAAAGGATTTAAGAACCCTCAAAGGAAGCAC